GGTTTCGGCTTCTTATTGCTTGCACATCAGCCGTGAACGAATCATGTGTTCTCCACTTCGGTAGCCATAGGGCTTGGATGTCAGGTCAGGGGCTGGGCAGTAGGGTGTGAACGGGATGAAGCATCTGGCGGCTCGGAATACTGCTCGATCCTGAAAGCCTCCAATAACCTAGAAGGCCCCTAGCCCGAGGCCTTACCAGACTGGCAGTCTTCTACCGTAAGCCTTTCTACTTTCCGGGACCCGACCCCCTTCCCGATTTTCCGCAGTCTCCTTCCTTGCTTCGACGAAGCAGACCGAGCACTGAGTACTGTTGGGGATTTCCTTAAGCCCATTGATTCTTCAACACACCCTATTTTGCGCATTGCCTGGGTATTTGTCGGCGGTCTTCCTTTGGAGCTGCTTTCGCTCGAATTGTTGTGGAAGCCTGCAGCGCTATGTTTGCGATGGGCTTTGGGGGAGGCCATGGCTACAGCCGCCGGTGGATCCCAGAGTTTCGGTAGTCTCGAGAAGACGATTTTTGGGGCTCAGGCCTGTCGTGCTGCTAATGGACAAAGCATATTCCGACCTGCACTTGCGCAGGCCCATTATCAGTCCAAAACCGTAAATCATGGCAAGCCCAAAAGCCAAAAATACTCCCATCGCCGCAAGTCTGCCACCCTGAATCTCAACGCCCCGGAGCGTGAAGCCCGTTTGGAGCAGCACCCTATAGGCACCACACTTTTCCCGCAAGCTTGGGAGCATCAAATCTCTAGACGGGGCCCAAGAGCAGCGTAAAACACCGAAACCCATGTCCGGACGCTGATGCTCTGTGTATTCAGGCTGCACCTCCGGCTGACTCTTGGAGGCAAAAGAGAGAAAGTGTCTCGATCCGCTTGGGGTTTCGCGGTCAGGGTACCGAATGTTGGGTACGTAGGGACTGTCACCCCAAGCCAACGCTCTAAGAACGAACGAAGTCAGGATTTTCGGCCAGAACAACGGCAGATGAGCCTTGACATGGGTTGATCAGATTAGTCAGGTATTGGACCGCGCAGCTGAGGAACCTCTTCTGGGTGGACACTCCGGGATGCGAGTCCGTGTACGTGCGTGACATCTACCGCATGGAGTTCGAGATCTTCCAGCCTCTCGTTGATGGAAGGGCGTGTGGCCTTACGGCGTGCGATGATCTTGGTCTTAATCACATATAGCCTGCTTGCCGTCTATGTTGGTAGTCGTGTTATTTCTTAATGCCGTCATGTCTATTGAATTGAACCTACTGTTTGTAACATTAAATCTTACGGTTATCAGCACGATGGCTATATCCACTGTAAATTTCTCGTTATCGTGATTCTTTCTTTTTATGGTTGAGCGGTCGTAGGAGCAGGACCAGCAGCAGCAGGTCGTCGTCGTCGTCGTCATCGTCCTTGCCCTCGTCGCAGCGGCCCCCACTCCCCAATTGATTCCCGCTGATTCCGTCATTGATGGGGAGCACAGCACTGAGTCGCCGCATCTTGAAGCTTTCCAGGTCCCTCGGTTGGGTCCTCTTCTACATGTCGGCGGTGATCATCTTCAGCACGCACATGCGCTACTGACCGGTTTTGCTGTTTCGAGGTGTCGAGCGAGAATTTCGAGGGCGAATCGGGGTTCGAATTTCGGGAGGCCGGGCTTCGGAGTATGTGTAGCGAACTTTACGAAAGTCTTCAAACATTTTAAAAGAATGCTAAGATCCTCCCGGAAAACCACCCTGACGATGACTTCCCGTCAAAGAGCCTCACGAGCCATGACAGGAAACAAATCCTCCAGAGCCAAATTCCAGGCCCCAAATCTTGAGACCTCAACACACACACACACACTGCGCCCAGACCCCGCAGACCCTAACCCCGAAAACCAACCCTAAGAGGCGAAGACCCTAATGTCTAATGCCCGAAACTCCAAACTCCAAATTTAGTCACAAAACTCAAACGGTCAGAGCCCCGCTCCCCCTTGCGATCGTGATCCCCCTAAACCTCAAACCCCGACCCTAAACTTCAAATCTCAAACCCGAAATGCCTGAAGCCCTAAAGGCCCTAACCCCTCAAGCCTGAAACCCTGAGCTCAAAGCCTTGCCGTACTGAGTGAATCCTTTCGAGGTGCCTGGGATGGCAGAAGGCCGTGCCAGCTCCGCACCTGGAGATCCCCAAGAAGCCGCCCGGCCGGGGCCGGGGCCGCCGTGGTCTTTCAGATTTTGCTTTTTCTGGTCAGCCTTGGGCTCGTAGGGTTTTAAGTTGCTGGAGGTCTGCAGCTTTGTGGTGGGTTTGAGGTTTAGGGATTAGGTCTTTAGAGCGTATTGTTATGAGGATTGCTTGACATAGACATAGTAGTCCGAATGCAATATCCCCCTGCAGTCCTTATGAGATACCATGATCTGCACCAAGACCTTGTTTTGATTTTTTCAATATTTTCTTCCGGTCTTGGGGTCCGGATGTTTTGCTGTTCAGTCGTAGCTCCCTGGTGACTCTTTCCGGGGCATGCTATGAAGGTTCTAATCTACGTACGGGTACCCGGTAATCCAGTGCCCCAGACTCCAAGCATCGAGTCCACCAGAAAGTCTGCCAAGGTACCACAGCCGGGCCGTGCACATGGGCTATGTGTTCACTCTCTTCATCTCCATGATCTACATCAGCTTCTTAGTGAGCTTGGTAGAGGTGTAGACCACCCTTTAAGCTTCTGTTTCTGCCACAACCCCACCATGACCCTAAGCCCGAAACTGCTAAACCTTTAGCTTTTTCCTTGGACGGGGAACTCAGCAGCTAAGGCTTCCCGCTCTACTGCCACCTCGTGACGATGCCTTTTGCCTGACTTGACAACTTGCTCAGTTGTTGGGTGTTCTGAGGGTCTAGGAATTAGGTTTCAGGATGTTTCAGGATTCAGGGAAGCCCAACGCCCCACAGCCCTCACGACAGCGTATGAATTCCACACTCAGCCCAGAGGTCCTCGGGCAGTTTGAGCACGGAGCCCGCCGAGCCATGAAGAGACTGAGGTGAACTCTGTTCCCTGGCTCTGGAACACTGGAATGCTTTTTCTTGTTACCGTCTTAGGATCTAGGATATAGGGGTTGAGCGCTCAAGGTTTTATGTTTTAACTCGGAGCTTCTTTCTGAACTAAGGTTCCGTTTCCTCACCAACTTCGTTTAATCACACGTCGTGAGCCACGTTACAACCTAGTTTTGGACTCGCCCATGCCGGTGCCAGAAAAAGGAAATACACCTTCTATGCTGCCTACCAAAGTATTAAGTTGCGGCCCCGTGTTTGCAGCATTCCTGTCTTAGACATGTTCCAGATTTGGGCGAACATTCAGAGTTCAAATGACGTGGACTTACATTTGCGCCCCATGTGCATACGTATACAATGTGTCCAGAAACAGCATATTGACACAAGCATGATGGCACGGAGGCATCGTATACCTATCCATAAAACAAAAGTTTTGTACAGTTGCATGTGTCTTTGCTCATGAGAGGAATATTTCAAATTGATCGTTGATTGCCGCTATTGCATAGACATCTTGCTGCAAAGGGCCCGATCTGCAAGACTATTGGGGTTTTGCAGTAAGGATCCCCGTGAGGTCTCCTTTCTGGCCGGGTAGGCTGGAGCCGAGAAGGTGCCGGATGTCCCATAACCTTCCTGCAAACCCGAAGACGTCGAGGCCGTAAGTACAATCGCATGCAAACCCAGAACCGCACACAAAGGAAGTTAGCCCGCTGTAAAGACAGCGTCAACTTACCTAGGAGGCCGGGAATCTCTGTGCCCCTTTCTGCTTCCATTGGGGCTGGCGGATTCGGATCCATGGGAGTGCCTCTTGGGTTTGAAGCTTTCGGGCAGCTACGCCCAATTTGGGCCCTTAGGGTTGGGTTTTGCGCAGTGCTTCCAATCTGCGCTGGTCGCCCAGAGCCACTTTCGGGCTCAGACGCAATTTTGCCTTTGGACAGAGCCATCTCAGGCCGCCTGGCCACGTCTGATCGTGGGTAAAGGGGTAACGACGAATTTTAGGCGCAATTAAGGCTGAGAATGGGTAGTTGGAGATTGCAACTTCCAGTTTTCGGGTTTGCTGAAGGGGCCTGTTAGAGCAATTCAATTGCTCTGCACCTCTTGCTGCAAACTCTTGCTGTCATTCTGACCAGAACCCTGTGGCACAGCTAAGAGAGGCATCCTTCTGAGCTTATTCCGTCAGCCTCGAGAGCCCACACTGTCAAATACCGCAATTCGGAGTATCTTCTTAGATGAGCCCCGGAAGCGTCCACCTGCCGACTTTTCAGGGCACCTCGGGTCCAAAGATCTGTCTAACCATAAACCTGTCAGAGTTGTAATTACATCAGGGTTGATAGATCTAGTCACCTATAGATGTTGCAGTCGGACCGGATGACAGATGCTTGGCGATGTTGACTTATGGGGCTAGACTGCTATCTTCGGGTCGTCGGCCATCCGGACAGCGAAACACAGGGCGCTCGAACAGTCCACCGAGGGTTTGGTCGAGGGGCCACCATCGTCCGCAATTCTCATGGTTCTTCGTAACCATGATCTAGTAGGTGCAGGTCTTTTCCAACTGCCAGTTCTGACTATGAAGAGAACGAAGTTAGATTGGTGTTCAGGCATGTGTAGGCTGTCGGGAGAAGTTGGAGCTTCACGGCGACTTTTGCAAAGTAGTATTACTCGCTGCTCGAACACTTATCTGGCTGTTCCGACCGGCACGTACACCGAATCTTATCGATTGTTTACATAGGTCGAAGGCGTGCGGCAATGCTGCTGTTCTTATCATCGAACTCTGCTTATGACTGCACTGCTGCTGCAGTGCGATGATATGATTGTCACTTCCACTCCTTCCCACGTGCCCTTGCCAGCTGCAATGCATGCAGTGAAGCAGTAATTGGCTGCAACTCCGGTGGCCAATACCATAAACCCTACTTCCCAACGCCCAAGAGACTGGCGCTACATCCCTCCAGACCCTCGCACCTTTCCAGAGCGCCAACACTGGAGGTTTTTGTTGCAACTATGGCGTGCTCGTTTCCGACCAACCAAGCCATCGTAGTGGGTGGCGGATTGGGAGGCCGGGAAGTACCCATTTTCATGGATTTACTGATTTACTAGGTTGTACGGTGATGTTGGCTACTTTTCCAGAAGTAACGTACGTACTTTACAAGGAAACAGGATCCTTAATGTGATGTCAGGTGCATGGCGTAGTTGGGAATATTGGGCTTCTTGGGGCGATTGACATCTATGAGGACTTGAGAAGTGCGACTACGCCTACCTTGCGCATAGATACTTCATGCTGGGTAGTGTGCTAGGATCCTTTGCAAATTCCGGCTTTGGGGGTATGTTTTGATCAGAAGAGACATGTTCTGGCCTTGGGGCTTCGTTTGATTTTGTCGGTCTCCTCATCGGGGTTTGTAGGAACCAGGAAATGGTGGGAATCCTAAACCACGAAACCCAAAAGCCGCACAAGCGTGGTTGCCTTCAAGGCCCAAGCCGGCAAGCTCCTCCCCTCGACATTCATTGGCCCAAAGCGAGGGCACTTTGAAAGCAGTGTTTAAAAATGGGCCCCGGACATGGCGGCTCCCGTCTTATGCCTGTCCCTTGGCCTTTGAACCGCCAGACCCGGAACTGTAAACAATCCGAAAGTGCCAAAGTACAAAGTTCAAGACATACGGCTCCTCTGTGCTGGTATAGATTGGCCTGAGAGGGACCCTGAGCCGGGTTGAGTGCTGAGGGATCCCCACATCCTTGAGGTAGTGTAGATCGAACCCGAGATCCTGAACCATAGAACCTTGAAGCTCGAATGCCCGACTGTAGACCCCACAGGTATGTCTGCAGCCAACACCGTGGTGGAGCACGGTGGGAGGGTGGTCTTGCTCGACAAGTCGTCCTTCTGCCACCTGGCACCAGAAGTGTAGAAAATAGTCGAAACCATCACAGCCCAACTCTGTAGGGCTTGTATTCATGTTGGAGTCTCTTTTGCTAGGTTCGGGGATGGTGTCCGGATCGTCTTTTGGAATTTCGTGTCTTGGGGGTGCGGTTTGGTGTTTGGGGTTTTGAGGGCAGGGGTGGAAGGTACAACTCTTGCAGAACTGCGGGAGAAGCGAGTGAAGACCTTCTAGAACCCTCCCGCCTTTAGTATCATTTACAGGTGCTTTGGAGACCTTCCGATCGCTGCTTCGAGAATTGAACAGGTGGTTTGGGTCTAGAGTAGGTTGTAGAATACAGAGTAGGGCGTAGGACCGGGATTCAGGAGTCAGGGTTTCGTTTGCAGGCTGATGGGAGCAATCAGAACCATCCTCGGCTTAACAAACCCGCGTGACGTTGTCGCTAGTAGTCCGAAGCCTTGTGAAGCTCGGCAGCTTCGGACTTTAAGATCACTCAGGGCGTCCCAGTCTATAAAAGTGCACCGAAGCAGGATCCTGGATCCAAAGTCCCACCGACAGTTAGAGCTTCCTTGTCAAGGTGGTGCCTGTAATAAGGATGCTACTGACCTATGATTTATACTTGGGCTTAGGGCTCTTGATCTTCCGAAGCTTCCATTTCGATGCGCTCAATCGCAAGAACATAGTGTGCGCGCCTGGGGAATTATTGGTATTCCCCTTTCTCGTACGGTTCAGGACTCTGCATTGAACGGTGAGGTTTGCGACCAGAACGTTGAACTCCCACCTTCAAGCCTTCAAGGGAGCCTGGATCTTGAATCCCAAACGCCCTGCTCCCAACAGTCTTAAAGCCATTAAACTGAAAACCCCAGAGCCTGAAGACAAACAGGAGCCCCAAACTGAAGCACTGCAGACGCCAAGCCCTATCAAAAGAATCAGAGACAACCGGGCTGTCGAGGTGGAGGCAACAGCACCAAGGCCACGCAGCTCGGAGCAGCAGTCGAGTGGGTTCTTGCGGCTGTCGGGCTCTGCGTTTCAATTTAAATACCAAGCCTAAATTTCTCAAGCCTTCTTTTGACATTGAAGCCTTAAATCTTTACCCCATGAGGGTCTCTGATTTTCTGGAATGTGTTGCTCCGAGGTCCGGCATCAACGGCGCAGGCAAGACAAGCGTTGAGCCAGTCTGTCGCGGGAGGGCCTTGGGGCTTGTAAGGCTTGTAGGGCTTGGGTCTGAAAGCCCACGCCTCAGAACACCGAGAGCCTAAACCCGTAAAGAAGCTTTACCTGGACCCCCAAAGTGCCTACAGACTGCAAAGTTTACATGTTTAATGCCCCTCTTACTTCGGGGGGTCGTGGTCGGAAGTTCCAGGCACGAAGACCCAGAAGGCCAAAGGAATCCCCGACACCGCCGAAATCTTCACGGCGGACCCGGCTTGGGGGCAGGGGCGGGGGCTCACTTTTCATTGCGCGAAGGCCATTCTTGTTTTTGGGCAGGTTGTCTGGCTGGGGTGCTAGGAACAAGGTAGGTTCGAACGGTCTAGTAAGTCTAGCAGAGTGAGCTGAGCCAGGACGCGTAGTCTTTTTTGGGCTTGCAGCTTCGGGTCGTAGTGACAGGTGTTTAGACCAGGGTCGCGCAATCCAGATGGCGCCAAAGTAGAACCCTAGAGCCCTAGAGTCGAGCCACAAACCACACCCTGCAACCCCAAATCGGCTCCAAACCCTTAGCGCTAATTAATCCGCCCCAAGCCTTATCCAGATCCTTAACAAAGCTTTGTGAACAAAATTGGAATAACCTTCATGAAGCCATTTCGAGCGTCCAGCCTCGAGCCACGCTCCGCTGTTTTTGAAAGGACACTTTGAAAGGTGGCGCCAAGAAGCCCGAACTCGCGAAGCTGCTCGGAGAGGTTTGTTTGTAGCCAATAAGGCTTTAGGCGGGCTTTGGGGTTTGGGGGTTTAAGGGGGTGTAGGGCGTTTTGGGTGTTTGTGGTTTTGGGTTCTGGACCTTTGAGGCCTCAGAGGTTCGTCGACCGTCAAGTCACAGTGTGCAACTGGTAGGAGAAGAGCTTCCTCTTTGTCTCACGAAGAGCTGCAGCATTGCACGAACCTTACACGCAGGCAGTCATAGATCTCCGGCCAGGCTTAGAGACTCAAGTCCCTAAACTACAAAAGCTCTGAGCCCTATCAGCTCCAAAGCGAACACGGCGTAACACTAGAGCGAAAACTTCCAAACCTCAAATCCCGGTGCCGAAAAATCTTTGAGCTGGCGATCCTGCAAGAACTTGTGCCCTTCCGACAAGCGGCGCGCAATCCCGGATGCGGAATGTGACTATGCTGATGGTCGTCCTGCAACTGCTGGGAGATGGTGATGGCACGGGGCATGGTGATCAGGACATTGAGCATGACCATGCAACATGACAGGTTCTCTCCTAGTCACAAGGGGTTGAAGCAACGCCCAAAGCCTGGCGGTGATTCTTCTGAGGCTGCTCTGCGACAACAGCGCGGCGGATGTGGAGCCGCTGCAGCATCCAAAGTGCTTTTCTTCTTTCGGGCTTTGCAGCTTCAAGCAGTTCCTCAACTGGAAAAGCAAGATCGCCCCCCTTGACCCGAACCCTACAATAGGCCTCGCACTCGCCTATCATAACCGGATGGGTCGCTGGGTTGAGTGGGTTGGAGGGCGGACGTGGTTGCAAACGCTTGAAGCTCTAGTCCAGTCGGCCTGGCTGGGATTACCATGCTCCCTTTTCAGTGTCCTTTGAAGCTTTCGGCCTGAGCCCTGGCCTTCAGTCTTGAACCCAGTAAAGCGACGCAAAGCACGGGGAGGACTGGCTTGTCGAGAAATTCAACTTGGACCTGTCCCTGGTTGCACGCTTGGGAGGCGCAGCCGAGACACCTTCGGGGCTTTCAGCGGTTCCCATGCATCCCGGGTTTTGAGGGACTCCGTACAAAGGTGGTATGCGCACGCCTGAAATCGCACCGAGGAGGGTTGACAGGCGAGGCCTGAGGAGTAGACTAGCATCATCATTGTGGCTGCAATTAGTTAGTACGAAGATGATCACTGTTTAGCCGAATGTTGACCGCTGGAACCCTACGAGACCTTATCAGGGCTTCTGAACCTCTGCACCCCAGTTTTGGTCTCCCAGGTGCAGGTCCAAAGAAGCGTCTGAGCCTAAGCCCCGAGCTCCATCAAACGGAATTTAAAGGTTTTGCCAAAAAGACCGAACTAGGTCTGGGGTTGAAAGTTCGGTGATCGGAAGCTTGGGGCGTTAGATGCGCCCTGGATGTCCCGACAAACTACACCTTGCACCGTGTCTTCCAACCTGCAATGGACGACGACAGCCAAATCCTGCACCAGAAATCCATGTTGAGCCTGCCCAACCTCAACGGCGAAGCTTTTCTAACTCCCGCAGAGCTCAAAGTCTGAATTCAAGAGCCAACACCTTCAGATCCTTAGCCCAGCAACGCTGAGGCCCATACCGTGAATCTGGCCGAAGCCTATATTGTGAACCTGGGCATCTGATTCCCTAAAGCCGAATCCTTTACCAGAGGCTTCAGAGTTCTTAGCCCAACATCTGGCATCCTGCATGCTGGCACAGGACACTCGCAGCCGCGAACGCACCGCGGAAAGGCAGCTGTGGGGGTCATGTTGGAGCCTGTAGTTGTGCCAGTATGCATTTATCCCTGTACTGTTTCCTCGGATATGAGGTGGTTCTGTTCGGTTTGTACATGTCGCTGGCTGCGGAATTTTGCACCAATGTGGAACCTGCTCCAAAATCTTAGCACAGGGAGTTTTCTTCCTTTTGGCTCAGCTCATCTGCGAGATTTTGCACCAAGCTATGTGTTCTTGTCCATTAATGTTATGGCAGAAATTTGCTTGTGAATGATTGGACTCGGTACTACAAACTACAAAACACAATACCCCCCAAACCGAAGTCCTCTCCGACTGGCCGTCCTCCCCATCCGAAGGCGTCAGTCCTTCATTGCGGTTTTGCATGGTTTGGGTTGTTACATCTTCGGTGGGACGAACACGTATTACCCTACTCTTATGTCAGATGGTCCCCCAAGAAAAGTATGGGTTCAGCGAGCTTCCGCCCAAAAAGCAAGAACATCTCAAGGTACGTGCTCAGGACGACACCAGGAATCCCACACTGCCCCTCTTGAGTTGTCTTTCTAGAGGGATGAGTGCTGTTGTTGGTTATAACCCATGAGGCTTGTTCAAGAGCAGTCTCGGTGCTCTGCACTCCAACCCACTGACCACGAACCTTAAAGCCACAACCTTCAAACCTGACTCGCAAAAAACCCTTTCTGTCGTGAACTAAACCATCCTAAACCCAAGCCGATTGCCGCGCACAGCGCCCCAAGCCCCTCCAGCTCAGAGGAGCGATTTCCGGGCATGACCATCACATACGCACTGATCCAAATGCTCGAGAAGGCTCCTGCATAGCACGGGCAGTCGCAGTTATTTCGAGGGGCCAAGGCACCTACAATGGCCCTCTTTCTTCGGTCCTGCGGTTCAGGTTCAGGGCCTTCGGGGGTTTAGCCTTGCAAAGTGGTGGTAAGGCGAAGGGCTTGTGGTTTGGGGTTCAGAACCTTGGGCGTCGTAGGGCCGCAGGGGTTGAGGGTTTAGATGAAAAGGTTTTTTGGAGCTGCCACATTCTAAAGCCGGACAAAGGGAGCCCTCGTTGTGAGAGCCTCGCAGGTGGCGGAGAAGACCGACCTTGCCCGCATCATCACCAAAGCGAAGGCACCGTGCTTTGCTGGATTGTGCAGGCCCTAGAGTCTTGCGGGTCGCTGTAGTCTCTTATGGGTCTTAATCAGGATACTCATTGTAACCTGTACTATCGAAGGGAGGGGGGTTCAAATATCAGAAGACCCGGGTTGAGGGCGTGAAGCAGCAGGGCTTTTGAGGTTTTGTATGGCTGTAATTTATCATACTGTAACGATTTGTCAGGTGATCGATTTGGGAAAACGAGGATCTTGAGATTCGAATTGAACGGGTTTCGTAGACAGAAGTGAGGAGACCGGCTCCTACTGATTCGGTTCTTCCTCGACATCATGGCCGGTCGAACCGCTTTTGAACGCAACAAGTCTTTAAGTCGAGGCGAGACGGACAAGCAGTCATCACGCAGAATGCTGAATGCTGGGCATTGGGCAATGGTGGTTCCAGGGTAGTTCCGTGTTTAGACGTGGACATTTTCTGGGTTTCGGGCTAAACTGGCCCGGACCTGGCAAAATGTTTTAAGTTTCATGGCTTGTTGCAATCTCGAGCACAGTGCCAGGGCCTCCCTATGGCCTGACAGCGGCAACCAAACCCCAAAGGATCCTGCGCTAAGCAAGGTTCCTGTGGTCTTGCCGTTTTCTCCAAGGCTGTACAATAGCTGTATTTCGTGTTTATTCTGGAGTTGAAGCTCGTAGAGTTGGAACGAAAATGGTCTTGTTTCAGTAAGCGGTCCATCCATCCTGGTGTTGACAAACATTTGTCAACACCAGAATGGGGGGTTCTGCAACAAAGTGATCCTGGTGTTGAGACTGTTGACAAATGTTTGTCAACACCAGGGACATGTGTCTCAACACCAGGATCACTTTTTTGCGGAGCCCCCATTCTGGTGTCGACAAACGTTTGCCAACACCAGAAACCATGGTTTGCAGGCCAACTCTGAGACATGAGTCATGATCCTGGTGTCAGGCCCTGTGGTGTTAACCTGTCGCTTCTTTCATATTGGCCGGTTCAGGTCCCCCTCGTGTCGACAACATGTCCCTGGTGTTGAAAAACATTTGTCAACAGTCTCAGCACAAGGATCACTTTGTTGCAGAACCCCCCATTCTGGTGTTCACAAATGTTTGTCAACACCAGGAAGGACCCTTTATACTAGCATGTCTCCAACACCTCACCCATACCTCCTCAGCACCTCCCCAGCACCTCATGAAAACAACTTGTATGTTGGGCGCACATATGCAGCCAGCCGACTTACCTGACCTCCCCCGTGTGGACAAGCCCGAAGAGAAATTGAATTTCTATCTGGGCTCCAAATCCGACCCGGTAAAGAAAGGGCTACTGCAGTGTGTTGTGCTCTTCAACCGAGAGCCTGAATGCCAGGTTTTTAAGCTCGTGACCAATGGCAATGCTTGCGTCGGCTGCGTCTACGCCGCTGCGGCAGCGAGCAACAGTCGTCACTGTAAGCGTGCTTGTCCCTGACAATGTTTGCAGCTGTCAGGTCGGTGAGCGTCTTTAATTATAAGCAATCGCGCTCTTAACTTCAGACATAATTGCGCAGCAGAGTTATCTCATTTAAGTTCTGCTGTTGCCAGCAGACATCTTATCAGACTGCTCATCACATAGAGTGGAAAGCGAAGAGCACCTAGCATACCATTACAGTATGTTACAGCACTTGGGCATCTGCAGCCAATCACAGCCACGGGTGGAATTAGGAAGGCCGGACTCGTAGAAAGTATGCGCATGTTGCTTTCATCAATGATGAAGCCTGAGCCCTCAACGCAAACCCTCAACCCTCAGCCCAGGAGAAAGGTGGAATCAATCTCCAGGAGTTTGGTCCCGTGATTCTGGCTTCAGGTGGATCTGGGTTTGGAGCTTAGGATAGAGGATTTCGAAAAGCCTCCAACGGGTGGCACAAAGGTATGTAGCGGATTCCAAGCAGTGCATCTTGGGGGGATCCTTGATTGAACGGAATGTGGCCAGGATGGGAGATTGCAATCACCGGATCTCATATTCTGTAACGCAAAGCTATGTCTCACTTTCTGAGGCACTTGAGATTGAGCGGTCAGGCTGGGATTACCAGGTTGCTGCACGCGGATTGTGCTCAGGTTTCAGATGGTGTTGGCCCAGGGTTTTCCGAAAAGAGGTTCAGGCTTGGGGCTTAGCTCAGAGTTCCTCAGCTGCAAGTACAGGGAAGCTTAAATCCTAAGTCCCTAAGTCGTAAGGCACAATCGTAGGTTCCCAAAACAACAGCAAACCCTGGGCCCCTGAATGCGAAATCCTCAACCGCAAATACCGTAGTAAGCCCTTGGCCCGGAAATGCTCAAGGCTAACTGAACCTATAGCCAATAAGACCCTCACGCCCTAAGCCTGCAAGGCCTGACTTCTAAGATCCTAGTCCTTTTAATCCTCTCGGCCTTCGCAGTTCGAACCTCACTTTACTGGTAAGGGCTTTAAAAGCTTTGATGGCTTCTGGGCCTCTGGGCTGTAGGGTTTCGGGTGGAAGGAACCCTGGCTGTAGAGTCTGTAGAAGGTTAGGGGCTTTGAGGCTTGGGCGTGTGAAGTTTTTGCGAAGGCTTCCGTGTTTCCGGCTTTTGGGTGTGAAACGCCGTTTTGTGTTGTTTTTGTTCCAGCCTTTGATCCTACTTGAGCAGGTGGCTTCGGCGCCGATTTCACTCAGGACGCTGATTCCGCATAGTAGTAGGCTAGAACTTAGGACTTAGGGCGTTGCTTCGCCTCCTTCGCTTGGCCGTGATGTCAACACTTTGGTGCTTCCATCTTTCCAGCGGCACAGATGTCACCTAATTAACTTCTTCTATCAAACCTGAAGCCACCTGGCTAAGCCTGAAATCCTGAGTCCTGAGTCTTGAAGCCAGGATTGCTTCAGGACTCAACATCGAAGCCAGTTGCTCATGCCAGCGTTGGCGGTCCCGCCTTAACCCTAAAGTGCCCAGAGCTTCTATGGACCTTAAACATGTCCCCGCTTTGAACTGGCACTGACAGGACTCGCTTCTTGCCAAATACAGGCCGGACCTTCTGCACCTGCCAGCCGGCAGCAATGGAGAGAGTCTCCATCTCAACAAAACTTAAGGGTCTTTTGGGCTGTAGCCATGTTCCGCAGGCTTTCTTATAATCGAGTCTTATGGGGTGTAAAGAGGGCAACCAGGGTCTTTTTGATGTGATGACAATCAACATGTTTTGAATCTCGCGTATATATTCACGCTGCATACGATGTGTCCAACTTCATTAAGGCCCTCCACATTGGACGTGGATAGCATTGGGGATGCAGGTTCCAAGGGTTCCTGTAGAGTCTAACGATCAGAGCTTGGGGTGCGAGGGTTTGGGTTTAGGGTGCATGAGAGTCAAGATCCATGCCTTTGCACCTCTACCTTGCTGAAACTCCAAGGTTTGCGTTGTCTTTACTAAGCTTATAAGAGTCCTCAATGTAGGGCTTGCAATCAATGTGAGTCCGACAACCGTGAACCGCCGGACACGCCAATCCCTGAAAGCTCAAAAACCCTTAAACGGCCAAGAATCCTAAACCAAAATTGCCAAGGCCCACCACCAACGGTGAGCACTGCACCGGCGACGGCATCAAGATGGGCGAGGTGAGGGGCCAGAGTGAGGGCCTGTTGCGCAGCTCGTTACCTGACCCGCTGCATGTGAAGAGCGGGGCTCAGGAAGGGGGGTGGCTTTGGAATCTCGGTGTCCACTTGCTTTCTTTGAGGCTGGTGCAATTTGTTCGGAACTTTGGACTGCTCGGCATTTGTCCGCCTGTTGGCAGTGGCCCAGGCTCTGCTGACAGGCAATCCGACGCCGCACTTTAAAGTTGATTTTGCAGCATGCAGCTACGCAAGACGCCATACCCCAAGTTTTTGACTACAAGGAAGGCCATGAAGCCATACCTTCCGTGCTTTCACGCAGGCGATCGGCGCGAAGACCATCGACCTGGAGTGGGTGCAGGTGCACCGACTCGATCCGGTCAGGATGTCATAACAGAGTGTGAAGTCTAATGAATACAATGCCTTGGACCCCAGAACGTTGAACATGCCCTCCGTGGACAAGGGCTGCAAGTCGACATCCTTGAAGTTGCGACTTCCAATTATATACCATGACAGCGACCATAGCCCAACTAGAAGTTTGTGATACGAAGACGAAGCTACAAGCAATATTGACATGGTTCATACAGTGATGAACCCAAAAGCTGTACCCATCCACCCAGACATGTGCTTGTGACGGCCTAGCGCAATCACACAGAAGCCCCGAAATCAGACCCAACTCCCGATTTGAGCGTTCAACGGGTTTAGCTTCGTAGTTTTGTTAGTGTTAGCAGGGTCTTTAGGGCCTTGTGACCCCCTTCAGAGCTTCTCTCGAGGTTCACCCAACCGGACTTGTGAAGCCGGATGACGCCGATGCCAAGATCAAGTTCCTGGCTGCCGAGGTCGACGGAGGGTCACTGGGGGTGTCTGTACGTCGCTTCCTCCCTCTCTCGCTCACTGTCTCTCTCCCTCCCCTATATAAAGGTACATATACATATTATACACATAATATATATTTGTATACACACGCACACAAGGATATGGGTCGGTCAGTCCGTCCGTCCGTTGTCATACATACACACACACACATGCACACAGACGCATCTACATATATATATATATATATATATAATTATATATATTTATTTGTATGAATGTATGTATGTATGTGTATATGTAAATACGTGCATAGTTACATACATTTACCGTGTATGTATAGATATACACACTCATGCTTACATACATAGTGGATACATGCAGATACATAGATGCATCGGTACACACAGACATACTTGCAGGTACAGACTTACGTGTGCACATACTGATACACGCGTGCACTGTCACCATACTTTATCTGGTGACATCTTCGAAAGTTCGTTTTCTGCCATCATTTTGCTCTTGTAGTACATGGCGGGCAGACGAACAGACGGACAGGCGCCCATGTTGTATCCTCCCAAGCCCCAGACCCTAAAGTCCGAATCCTAAAGCCCATTCTCATGCCGCGATGAACCCTCAAGGCCCTGCGTGGCGTGGGCGGCATCATCCTCAACGCGGATGGCTGCTGGTCTACAGTTTAGGTGTCTGGGGTTTGAGCGATGGGCCTACAGGACCACGGCTCGGTTCAGGATTAAGGGCTTTAAAATTCGCGCTTCAGGGTCTCCGTGTTCTCAGGTTCCTGGTCTTGGGGCTCGAAGCTTCAAAGCTTAGGGCCTAAGCGGCCCCGAAATTGTAAAACAAAGACATCCCCGCAGATCGGTGCCTAAAGCCTGCAAGACCCTTTCACGCATTGCCGGCGACTTAATATCGGATGTAAGGAGTCCTGGTGTGTAAGGGGTTCTTTTTGGAATTTGTTGTACCTTTTTTGGAAGTCCCTTGAAAAAAATCCTACAGTCCATATCAGGTTTGTTTATGTTCGGGACCGTCCAATGGGCTGGCAGTCAGGTGTTTAGAGCAGTTTCCGGCAGCTTAATTAGCCCTATTTTGCCGGACACTGTACCCTACCCCTTGACTGGCGAATAAGTGGATTTCGGAGGCATCTATAGGCCGCACGAAAAGCCAAAATTTTCAAGGGAAGGCTATTGAAGGAAGTTCGCTGGGGTGATAATATGTAGCGTGGATACCATAAACTTCGGATTCCATTGGAGGGCGCTTGGCATTACAGTGATGTGGGTTCCTTGAGGATTCGATCAGAGCCCCAGCCTCCAAACCCGACCCCAAAAGTCCAAAGCATTAACCCTACGCCGAAGTCCGACACTACAAAGCCACAAAGCCATGTGCCACGCAACCTTAACCTCTCGCAAAAACATCGACCTGTGATGTCTTCAAGGATCTTCAAAACATTCTCGGTTTAGAGTTCAGAAGGAGCCTAGAGCTTTGGAAAACGGGTGAATGCTTTGCGATGTAATGAATGCCCTATCCAAATCTGTTAAAAGGTAGACATAGACATGAAAACAAAGATGTATGTTTTGGTCTTTTTGATGGGAGGGAGGGTCCGATTTGCATGCAGCGAAGAGAAAGGAGAGCGCTTCTGCAACGAGCTGGGGCGTGCCGTTCCCAGTTCCCTTGAGGGTTTCTTGGGTTGTTGCAGGTGCCATAGCTATGTGTGAGCTTTGATGCTATAGGCTATAGGAGTTGTCGAGGAAGTTCAATTGTGGGGGTTCCTCCTTGTTGACCAACCGAGAAGTTGGAGGTGTTAAGAGCGCAGAAGCTAGCCAAGTTGTGCTGAAGACACCCGTTGCGCAGCGTGATGCAGCGTGACTTCATCTTTCCCGACCCGAGAAAAGTCCCGGCCACCGTATGCAACGAAGCCCAGGCCCTGCAAGGCACACAGAAGCATGGAACTTTCGTGCAGCGACCGAGCTGGAACAAAGCCATGCCAGCCTTTCCAACTTAAAAGCCGAAGAGCCAAAGGACTGCCTCGGCTATCCTGTTAAAAGCCCTGGGTATGGCCAGCTTACTCAATCCCCTGATCCATTAAGTAAGGTTTAAGTTTAGGTGGTCCAGGAATTCAGTACCCCTAACCTGATAACATCCATCCGAGGGGTTGGCTGGTTCAAGGCTAGCTAAGAACACCTGCCGGGGATGAGTTCTGATGGTACCGGTCGTGTAGTACTTTCTTGTGGAGCAGACAGTATGACTTAGGGTTTTCAATCACACCGGAGTGTTTTGCTGCACGGGTACATGTTGAAAAACACATATCTTTGTGAGGGAGCACATCATTGTTTAGTGTGTTCTTGCTGCAAGCACATTGTTTTTTTAGTGTCGGGGTTTTATCAAACATAGTGTGCGGCTGCGTTGCTCATTGTTTTTTTACCATGGAGGTTGCATCAGGTATCATTTTTGGGTTCTCGGTTCATGTGTTTCATGAGGGCATATCTTCATGATCTGTTGTTGCTTTGGCTGCCAAGTTTGCTTCTCGAACACATGTGGTGGTTAGCTCGCATGTTTCTAGGTGCAGCACAGCACAATAATTTACTTCTGGTTTGACTGAAATGCTTCGGTGAAAGTGAGCTGGTTGAGGATCACGAAGAATCACACACTCATTTCTTTTTGCATGTAAGACGACCAGACACTAGCAATGGATGCGTTGGTGGCTCGGAGATTGGCAGTGTTTTCTGCTGCCCGTGGTGTGGACGTCGACGGCACGGGTCGTGTCTACCCACGGGGTCGGTTCAGCGAACTTCTGGTGGAGCTGCTGACGGGCCGTGGCACTGACAGGCGAGCGGCCACCAGTGAAGTGCGGCGGGCACTTGCCGAAGAGACTGAGTTGCACTTTAGTTCATGGGTTCATTTCATTTCCACGAGAGCATGTGTCCATGAGTGCATGAGTTCATGAGTGTTGAGTTCATGAGTGCATGAGTCCATGAGTGCATGAGCCCATGAGTGCATGAGCCCATGAGTGCATGAACCCATGAGTGCATGAGCCCATGAGTGCGTGAGCCCATGAGTGCATGAGCCCATGAGTGCATGAGCCCATGAGTGCATGAGCCCATGAGTGCATGAGCCCATGAGTGCATGAGTGCATGAGCCCATGAGTGCATGAGCCCATGAGTGCATGAGTGCAACAGCCCATGAGTGCATGAGCCCATGAGTGCATGAGCCCGTGAGCCCAAGAGTGCATGAGCCCATGAGTGCATGAGCCCATGAGTTCATGAGTGCATGAGTGCATGAGCCCATGAGTGCACGAGTGCATGAGCCCATGAGTGCATAAGCCCATGAGTGCATACTGACCCATGAGTGCATGAGCCCATGTCTGCATGAGAGCATCTGAGCCATTGTCTGCATGAGAGCGTACACCCATGAGTGCACGATCCCACGTGTGCGTCTGCGCACGAGTTCATATCATCTCATGCTCCATATGATCACGTGAGTTCAGGTCAGAGAGGATTAGGCATGAAGTGTCATGTGCACATGGCACATGGTTATCTATCAGCACGTCACATGCACGAGCATGATCATGGTCGGTGCGTTCTGTGTTCGGTGGTTGGCATGTGCCCAGGCACCATTGCTACCTCAGAAACATCTACATGTCTTCATTGAGCACTCCCAAGCACAATCGGTACTCGCTCGGCTGCATCTGCCGTTCATGTGCCGGGACAATGCCCCTGGACAGGCGAAGGGCATGCGTACATCATGCGTCGTGGTGGATGACGACGAGGATGCTGACAGCATGTTAGGCCTAGTCAACTTTGGCGGAAGTGGCGGAAGTGAATCTGCGTCTGCGGGCGATCGTGGCAGCGTCGGTGCTGACAGCCTGGGCCGCGGCGGCTCGAGCATTGATCTTGACTTGGACTTGGATGACTTGGAGGTGCGATCGGATTCATTGAGTGCCGGTGGTAGTGGAAGCAACAACAGCAACAACGGCCGAGAACCGCTGGCAGACTTGGCGCTGGTCAGGTTTCAGGATTCGCAAGGTTCGCAAAGCTTACAGGATCCACAGCAACAGTCGCAGCAGGCGGTTGTTCCGTTTGACAACATCCACCACAACAACCCCAGACGCTGGACAGCAACAGCACTGAAAGAGCTACGTCGCCAAGACTACGAAAACATGCCACCGCAACAATGCGCATTTGTTGCTTTCAAAGCATCGGCTGCACTGCAACAGCATCTTGCAAAGTGCCAGGAGCAAGCAAAGCAGATCAGAATGCTGAAGCGGATCAACCAGCGACAGGAGAGCATCATCAAGAAAAAGCAAAAAGTGCTGGACGAAGAACAGGCTAGGAAGTCAAGCCTTGAGATCGTGCCCATAGGCAAAACTGGCAAACGAATGTCAGTGCAGAGTGCATTTGCCATCGGTGTGCGACGAAACCTCTCCAACATCGCGGCCGCTGACTTCGGAGCTACGATCCTGACAGACGTGAGCCAGCAGCGTGTCACGAGGTCAGAGCTCAAGACAGCAGCGGCACTGCTGTGCAAGATGAGGTCAACTTGTGTGTCGGTTGTGAACTCGTCGCAGCATGGTGAAGAAGATGTGGAGTTTGGCGAGATCCATCCGAAAATGGAGCACGAGTGGCGGCTGTCAGCGATTTCCATGAGATGTGATGCAACCAACAGCTCCATCTGGAAGAGAGAGAAGCTTCATGTTCTCGATGTTGACTTTGCCTGGGTCGAAGACTTCGCTGCTGTTCGCAAGTTCGACGCCGATAAGGCTATTCATTGTCGCCGGTGTTTGTCCTGTGCCCAGTGTTGTTTCTGTGATTTGACATGACATGCCGCCTGACATGCCAGTAATTGTCTGAGGGGTTGTGGTTCACTGATGTTCACTTAAGGTCGGACACACAAGTCGTAGCAGGAAAGACCGCCGAATCATGCAACGGCCTCGTCGAAAAGCAGATGAAGTCTGCTGGTGTGCCTTTGTGGCACGAGGTCGTCAATGAGCTGCGAAAAGAGCTTCTCAAACTGAACTCAGCACCACTGGAGGGCATGGTTTGTGCGGGGTTGCGGTTTCAGTAGCCGAAACTCTTAACTGCTTCAGTAGACTACAGTAGGCATGTGGCCTGTGACTCAGTGCAGCAACCCAGGCATCCTTCCATATCGCGGTGTCATGTGTTCATGTACATGGATGTCACGGACAAGGGCTCGGACCAGTCCTGTCGAAAACGCTGCACTAGCGAAGCCATCACTGCAGCTGGATGCCCCAACCTCATCTATTTACCAGGAATATGTTACCTGCACATGTTCAACGCCAGCGTGAAAAATGGCCTTGAGCTCGTTGACGAGATGCTCAACGCATTGTTCAGCAAACAGGTGCTAGCTGGTTTCACGAAGTATTTCGGGTCCGTCAGCAAAGTCGTCAACTGTTGGCGGGAGAAGGCGGCGGAAATCATGATGTCCTGGGATCAGGCGTTCAAGGACTCGGACCTTGATACCTTGAAACTCGGGCGACGGTATCCCCTGTCGGTAGTCAGTGGACGTTGGGGCTCCATCGAAAGCGCAGAGGACTTCCTACTCTTGCGTGGGAAGGACCGAGTTGTGCCGGTCCTTCTCGCAGCGCTCAGCAAGCACATGCGAGCTGACACGGCAGCACCCGAATCACGCAGCCCGCCAACATACAGGGCACAGGCATAGGCACGTGAGTAGGACTAGGACTGATAACAGGTCACAGGCTTCAACGACAGAAAACCTTTGAGGGTTCAACGGGTTCAACCGGCAACAGCCAAGGTGACACCAACATGGACTTGAATCCAGACGCCGCAGACGATACTGCTGCATACCGGCTGAAGCTATCCAAATGGTACAAGGGAACGGTAGACGCGATCAGTCACCCTATCTTTTGGTTCCTGTTGACAATCTGCCGTTGTTTCCGTGGGCCTATGAGACATTTCTTCCACTTTGTGCAGCAACAAGCACAGCGCAACAATGCTGGCGAAGTCATGAAACAACTGGTGACTGGCAAGCTGGATGCTCTCCATGATGAGTACAGGACTTTGCACAACAACATGAACGAAATCATAGCAAGAGCTATCGAGCTGTCAGGTTGCGACAAGCTGTTTCAGCAGGACCCAGACGGTTTGCAGTCACTAGACCTGATGGCTAGGAAGGTTTGCATGCAGCAGTGGGCGTCCTTTCAGCGTCGGATATATTATCCTTTGCAACAGCATCTCGCCAGAACTTAAGGAATCGTTTCGTTGAGTTAGCATGTGAACAATTTGGTGTGTGCTGGTTGCTACGCCGCAATATGTCTTGACACGTCTTGGTGCACAGACAGGTATCCGATGAAATTGCTGTGGCTGCTGAAAGAGAACCCCTTGAAGTATTGTGAAAAGCGTCGAGGACTGCGTCGAGCATGCTGTGCATGATGTCATGATGTCATATCATGAAATCATGTGATCATCAGTCATGTCATGATGAGTCATCATGATGTAGTCGAGTCATGCTGCTTGCATTTGGTGTCGTCGTGCATCCCATGCCATGCGTCATGTGTACTCATGTAATGTTAAATGTTACATGGCTTGGATGTGCTGCCACACTCACATGCATGCATGTCTGCACGTAAGCAATCTCAGGAGTAGCAGATGAAGTTCTCAAGCTGGGAAACTTGGATG